AAGAGCCCGTTCGACATCCACACCATCGACGATGTTCGCACATTACTGGAGGCACTTCAATGCGGTAGGTGCTGTTGGGTAAGGATGACCAGAAGCGACATAAATCACCACAAAGATGACGTTAGCAAGAGAATCGCAGCGGGTGAAAAGGTGGGGAAGGCAAGGCAGCCGAGGTCGGACAAAGGTGTCAAGAGGCCGCGGAAGAAAGCACCAGGGACAGGGGAAGGCGAGGACGATGGGGCCCCACCAGCGAAGAAGCAGAAGAGGGGGAAAGCCGTGCCCGAGACGCGCGCTACGACAACCAAGAAAGCGCCCAAGAAATCCAAGAAATCCCAGCTGCCCCCCACCCGTCCCACCAGCAACGAGTTTGTTGAGAGCGATGCTGATGTTGATAGTGCCTAGCTTACTCATTGAATGCCGTATGCCGTGTACCCTCCCCCATACCCTACAACAACATGATCATCACCTCCATACATATGTCTTTCATAACCTTGCTGTAATAAAATGTCATTGATCTACATACCACTGTGTTACACAAAAAAAGCGAAGGGAATGGATTGTTATTGAGGGGGATACACGTTGTCGGCGTTGCGCACGACGAGCTCGACGCGTTGCCATCAACAACGGTGAGTAAGGGTTCTTCGTGATGGCATCGAACCCTTTATGGGCAGGAGCGCAATGCCGCCAAGTGCCAAACACCGGTGACTGGTATTCATGGTTGCCGGTGAGCACAGGTAAGAATTTATTATAAAGTCCCTACGCACTACTGGTAGTTATTGCCCAGAGCGTTACAAAAGCCATCTTTGATCGAACTAGACAGGAACAAGCATATCTTGTTCCTGTCTAATAGGACCAAATAGGTGGGGTTCACAGGTGTTTTGCTTCCATCAGGGGAGGTAGAATAAGACAGACACAACGTTCGGGTACATAAACGAGAGTAGAAATGACTGAAATGCCCACATGTGACGTCACTAACGCGAACTGTCACGGTGTGTGACGTTGTAACACGTCGTCTCCTACGCAGTGCTCTTGCACCTGTCTCTTCCCTCGAACAACCAACGAAAGACCGCGGTCTCGTTAGCGGTTTTTGCGACACCTCCTATTTTAATCTCCTTCTTTATTCTTATGCCACTGGGCAAGGATTTATCCATTGTGGCAGATTCCACCGTCTCCTCATCTCCCCTACGCGACTCTGCAAAGAGCGAGATCAAACGGCCCACTCGAACGTATGGCAGAAAAAAATCCCCTCCAGCTGAAGATATTGAGGCATCAACCTCATCTTCTTTACTGGCTGCGCCGTCGCGCGCCAGTGTCCACCAAACTGGGCCGCCCGGACTTGACGAAGAGGTTCCTCCGAGCTCACAAACCTCAGATGATGAAGGAACAGTAGAAACACATGGAGGATTGGAAAAATTCTATCGAGCTTCTTCGGGATTTCAGTTTGAATGGCGGGCGCAATTGAAAGCGATGGATGATGAAATTGACTTCCCCGATAGTCAAGATGCGTCAAAAATCGACCAATCGTTGTCCAGTCAGCCCTCATCTAAAGCAGGTGGATTTACGAATTGCGTTTTTTTTTGCATAACTAACAGTTTCGTTTCAGGACGCTCCTCTGGATGATTCCTTTGCAGGTCCTCTTTCTACCATTACTGCGACTTCACCAAGATCTGTAGATCATTTGGCACCTCCCTCATCTCCCCTCATCAGTGAGCGGCGCCGACGTACAAAAAAACCAACCACGCTGCTAGACTCAGACTCAGATGGTGAGCTGGGAAACGGCACACATTCCAGCAACTCATCACCATCCGCTCTACATCGCATTAACACCCCCGAACCCGGATTCTTATCTACACTTTCTGCCTCAGACGGTGGCGTGACTGTGGCCCCAATGATGAGTGTGGGGGAGGGTCGTAACATGAAAGTCGACCATGTTGAACAGACAATCCCACACAATAAGTCCAGGAAGCCGAAAGTCAAGGTACATGAGGTAGTCATGCACGTCGTATTTTGTTTAAATTTCTATTCACCAGGCGCCAACGAAAAAAGACTTCACCGAAACAGCAAAAGCGCGTGCTCGGATCGCGACGGAAAAAGAATGCCTCATCCCTCGTCCTCAACGCGATAAGCACACCCTGCAACGCTTGTTTTCCGTCGTGTTAGTACTCTCGTTTTGTCGCCACTGCTCTAAGAATAATTCCTTTTCGTCATTTAGCAAAAATACTCAAAGCAGCATGCAAGTGCCTTCTGATCCACCTTCTTCTCCCCGTAGCTCTGCCGTCAATATATTTCGCCCTATCTCACCATCTTCTGTCCATCCTTTTCAAGGGGAACAATGTCCTCCCATAATACCGCCAACTATTCCAGCCGCCGAGTCTGACGACGAGTTTCCTGAACCTGAGCTCCTTTATGAAGAGCGGATAGCAACGAAGAAACGGGAAGACATTCAGGCACTCAAACAGCGCGCTCTGGTCGAAAAGCAGAATGCACCGTTGGTCAGTGAAGATGAAGACGACGACCTTGTCGTTCTGCCTTCTCCGGAGAAGGGCACTACCAGACTTGACGAGGAACACCACAGATCTACTAGCAAGGGGAGACCGTCTGAAGGCAGAAAGGTCCAACTCAATTTTGCAGGCATGAACTTGTCAATGCAGAAGTCTGGCGCTGCACCCAAATTGGGTCCCCTCAACAATGTCGGTTCGTCAACCAGTCGGCGTAAATCAGGTATCACACGTGACGAGTTGAATACGAGTCTCTGGAGTAAAGTCAAGGGAGATATTCGCGAAACCATTCACAAGAAGGAGGCAGATTACATGAAGGCTGGAGGCAGAATCCTCATTTCTGAAGGCCCAGCAGAAGTTTCAGAAAAATCTTTGAACGTGCTTGTGGAGAAGGGACTAAAAGCCGCTGAGGCGCGGATGGCTGGTGCGATCGAAAATGATAGCGATAATGAAGACGAGGAAGACGAGGACGATGATGATTGGATGCCAGAGGGCAGGGGCTCTGCCAGTCCCGAACCCGAGCCCGACGAAGGTCAGGGTGCAGCCGAAGTTATGGCGGACGATGTTGGAGGGGATGTTTTGATAGATGACCTCAACGATCAGGAGAATATAAACACCCGATCATCTCACCGGCGACGGACAGTATTCTATTCAGACGACGAGGACGATGAGCCCAAGCCCAGAGTTCAGCATCCTTCACACAACAATGTCCTGCCTGATAAACCACCCACAATGATATTGGAATCCGAGGATTACATGTCAGCTTCAGCGGATGAGCGGGTGGAGAACGAAACAGACAAGGAAAATGACACTGGTCTCATGTTTGATTATAGCGAAGATAAGGAGAACAAAGCTGTTGTTCGACATGCAGAGCTGGGCCCCTTAGGAAGGTCCCTGTCTTTGCGAGGCGAAACACAACGAAGTTCGGCAATGTCGTCGCCTGACTTGGGAGAAGGCTTAGATTCTCGGAGACCATTTCAGGAGTTGGTTGGTGGTGACAGTTCGCAGGATATGCAACTTGCCCCCACCAATCTTACCCAAACCTTTGCTTCACAGCTAAGAACAGCATCTTCACATCTATCCACTAATTCGTCTACTTTTATTCCTGCTGCTTGTATTGGTAACAGCGACCTGGATGAGTTCCAGAAATTTTCGGGCAAAACGTCGAGCAGTAATGCTGCTGCATCCATCGTCTTACAGCCCAGCTTTTCGGATTTGTTCGAATCGGCCACGGAAAAACAGGGAGACGCACGGCCCCTTGCTTCATTCAAGGATAAAGAAAAGGTATGAGGGTATTACTCCCTGTTGCAGACGCTCAACCTGCTCTCAGGCTGTTTCCATTTCCCTCAACCAAATTCGTCGATCGGATACCCTTGATCTGACTCAAGATATGACCCTGCTGCCTGCATTCCAAGCTGGAGACAACGTCTTACGCAAAGCTGACATTATATTTGAGAAAGAGCAAGATTATTTGTTGGAAAACGCTGGTCGGAAAAACCAACAGAGTGCTGAGCTGTATGTCAATGATGATGGGTATGTGGATCACGACATCATAGAAGTTCTCTTCCGCAGCTACTATGAAACAGATTCCTCACTCAAACGAGACCGGATGTTCACA